GGTTGTACTTGTAGCTGTGATTGTGGTGTTAGTGGTGCTGATTGTGCAGCTGAGGAGAGAAATTCAGCAGCTCCGGAGGAATAATGAAAATAACAGAGTTTTAATGAATGAACACAGAAACAACAGTGCAGAAGAAGAGAGACTGTCACCCCCCAATAGTGTCCAGGGAGTCTGAGAGATCACCACTAATCTCTCTCTCTCTGTTTCTTTCTCTTCTCTCTCTCTCTCTCTCTCTCTCTCTCTGTGTCTGTTTCTCTCTCTCTGTTTCTTTCTCTTTAGTCTCTTTATTTGTGTGTGTGTGGTTGGTTGAGTACATCAGTGTAGAGAGTCCAGCTCTGTCTGACCTTCATCGGCAGAGCTTTTCCAGGTTTTTATCTGTTTTCAGTTTGATAATCACAGCTGAGGATTCTGTCATTAATGTTCTTTACTCTTTAAAGCTATTTTACTACTAATTAAGTGAGTTTAGTTTAGTAAGCTTAAACATTACACAGATAATAACTGTGTAACTGTAAATATGTAAACAAAACTGCAATAATTACATTACAGTTTATTACAATTTTACAAGATGACAATACCAGATATTATTATTTTTCTGCACAAATATTTTCAAAGATATTTTCGAGAAGTATTTCTTTCAAAAACATTTCCATTTCTTACAGTCAGTAGCCGTACAGTTTAAATGCTCTGCAGATTGTACAGTAGAAGTGAATAATGCATATTTAATGTGTTTTATTATTAGTTTTAACCAGTTTTAAGTACAGAGCTCCATGAAGGAAGCTGATGCTGTGATTGGTCCAATGCACATTACCCCGAATCTGATTCAGTACTGGACCTGCTTCATCTACCGTGGAGTGATGGTCAGTTAAAGTCCACACTGATTCAGGTGTTTCAGTAGGTTAAAAACATTCACTGTATGATGAAACCCTGCACTGTGCTGTCGTTCTCCACTGTATTGAAGTTTTCACAGGTGATTTCTGAATTTTTGTTCTGATCAGTTTTCACCAACACAGAAATCACTCATATCTGTAAATACTGCTCTGTTCGCATCGCTGGAATGTTTAGTTTCATTAGACGAATCAGTGTTTTAAATGTTATCATTACTAGTCTGTACAAATGTTTTTATTTTTCCTGTTTTATTCAGTGTTATTCAGAATGTGTTATTGCTTTGTGCTTTAAGATACTCTGCAGCCTGAATGTTTCCAGTGGGGGGTTTCAGTGCACATCTTTATTCAGTTTGGTGACGGAGGCTGTAATACTGCTTATTTGACTTATTTGGTGTGTTTGGAAACCAATGCTCCTCTAACGTAAACTGGCTCTGAGTTCACGAGGGGACCAGAAGATATATGTTTTAATGTATATATACTGAGAGTGTAAATGCTGAAAATGTCCCTGTCAGTGTCTATAATTGTGTTTTGCTGAGTGATATAAAAGCTGATTTCTTTAACAGGTTAATGAGACTCAGGTGTGTCTGATGAGGGTCTGATAACTCAAACTGTTATGTGTCATTATTGCGCACCATCAACTACATCACACACAAATATAAAACATCTGTTTATTAAACTGCAATCAGGCATCGACTAAATGATCTGCATTCACTTTACACTTTATTATTGTACCTGCGGGAGACGCTCAGTACAACACAGATACAGTAGGATTTATTTTTACTGCTGAAATATTAAAAACAGCTTAGAAATGTGCTCATATAAACAACATCATCTGTTCTCAGAATGGGAGATAAACACATAATATAATAAACCTGTAACAGAACATGTATCGTGCTATGACTGTTTCAGTTACCGTCTCACAGACGTCTACATAATAATAAATCATATTTAAGTATCTGCAGTTCTGGATTAATTCTGACTAATTTCACCGTGGAGAGGTTTTCAGCTTCACCTGTTCAGCAGGTAATGAAGAGACAGTGAGACCTCAGTACCAGGACACTGTGAGCTGGGAGATCAAACTGAAATGAGGAGCTCTTAGAGCTGAGAACCTCTGATCTGCTGCAGATGTTCACTGAAGGAGCTGCTCTCCTTTCAGTACAGCCAGTTGTTTTAAAGGAGACCATAGAGACCCTCTGACTCTGGGTTTATTATCTCTTTATGTTTTTAAGAGGCAGTCAGTAACCCTTCACTACTACAGCACTACATGAAGTGATCAGGTCATCATCATCATCAGACAGATCGGTCTGTATGAAGATAAAATCTTACAGTTAAATCTTCTTCTGTGTTCAGGACCAAATGGAAAAGAGGTCATGCAGTTAAACTGGTTCTGGGTCGGTTTTACTGTTTTATATCCAGAGGCGAACATCTGCAGTTATATATTCCACCTGCAGGGGGCAGTAACGCGCGTGTCTCCAGCCACACTTCTGCTCAGCCGGCACTTTCAAATTCTCCGCGCGCTCAGTGACGCGCTTTACTCTGTATGTTCATTTACTCCGAATATTATTATTAATATGATAAATATCAGAGAGGTGAATATGGGGGAGGAGTGTGGTGAATCTGGAGGAGAGGATGAGGAGAAACAGCCGTGGAAGGACGGAGATAAAGTCAGGAATCTGCTGATGAAGATCTTCACTGTCAGACTCACAGTGGAGGTAAAGCTCTGAGGACTTTTATAGCGGAGTTTCTCTGTTTTTTACACTGGAGGGAAATTTTATACACAGTTATTCTTTAAAATGCTGCTTTACGTTCCGCACGTCTGTCTGCGAAATCTGCACTTTTTATTTATTTCATGTTTCAAATGAAATGTGCTAAATTTCCGTTCCAACGACTTTGGCGGGACGGACAAATGTCAAAATAAAAGTTCGACCGAACGTAATAAAAATTAATCTGCTCTCATCGTTGCGTCATACATTATCCAGCGCCAAAAATCTAGAAAAAAAAAAGTTTAAAAAAAGTTTTCATTCGGTTTTGTGAAAGCTGTGTGGAAGTAATTAGTATATAAAAAGCTGCTTGGTGTTAAATTATAGCGTTGAGATAAAAAGCTTTACTTAGGATTTAATTACACAATCTGGAATATGTTTTAATGAATGAAAAGTACAAAAACATTCTTTCCCATCTTCTACTAAAATTCCTGTGATACTCCAGCACTCCACCAAACCCCCAGTCATAAAATTTAAATCACAGATATTAAATACAGCAATACCTGCTCGTGAGAACATCTGTAACTGCTAATAACAGTGCTAATGTGAGCTGAAACATTTTATTCCTCTTTAAACAAGATGTGCTCAGTACCACATATGTTTTTTTTTTTTGTTTTATTAAAAATGAGGTTGATTGAAAAAATGGTAATAACTATTATCACATTAAAACATTTAGCAGATAAACTGAAAAAAACAAAATCTCACACATTTTACTTTTTAGAGATAATTGCAATAAAACTGACATTTCAAAAATCCCAAAAAGTTACTTTGAACATGCCTCATCAGTAAAAACATGAAAATGAATGTGTAAAAATTGATGTATCAAGTATACTAAATCAGAAATATATAAAACATTTTTATAACATGCACAGATGAACACCAGTCAGTTCCAACATGTAGTGTAAGATATTTTACATGTCTGTATTAAAATTAAATAGAATTCCTGAAATGTGTAAACTTTAGATCCAAAGTTCACTGCATGGGCTTTATGCTATAATCTCTCACCAGAAAACAGAGCTGAGTGAGGTGTTACTGAGTGAGAGTGTGTTACTATTCAGTTAACCACTGGGAACAAAAGGAGTTCAACTGAGATTAGATTTTCTTCTCTTTTTTAGGTCATTTCTCTGGTGTTCTGGTGTTGAAGGCTAAAAAAATATAACATTAAAATGTAGAAACATTTTTAATGTATTATTCAAAAATTACAGAAGGAAATGAGTAGATTTCTGAGTTTGTTGAGGCTTGAGTGTCGATGCCTCTTCAGATGAGCTAAAGCTAACACTAGATAAGACTGGTACAGTGTTGGATGCAGATGAAGACTCATCTTCTTCTTCACGAGGTCTTTTCTCCTCAGTGGACGATGTGCCACCATGTTGTTGTAGCACGGACCAGAGTGAGTGTGACAGCGCCGCGCTGTATTTGAGCTGAGCTGAAAGTAAGTAGCCAGTAAAGAGTTCAGAGATGCAGAGAACCTGTTTCTGACTCTAATATTTCTTATGCTAGCCTTAAATGCAAAAGACAGCATGAAACAATGTCCTAACAACACAATCATGTTTCACTGCAGCAGAATATAATGCATTACACTCACTTCCTTAGAAATATGATCAACACTGTCTTTTTCAGCCTGAACTGCCTTTTTACAGTCCTGTTAACAGATAAAACCTGTGTTCTACTTAAGTCTTAGCCTGTATGTTTTCTCTGTCCAAGACGAAATGTAAAAATAGCTGAATGAGCACCTCATACAGTTACTCAGGTACTGGAGTGCACATCTGTACAGCTCACATATCCAAAAATAAGTTCATTTTAAATTTAACATTCAAAAACTGAATCGTTTCATACCAGAACAGATACAAAGGGACATTCAATAACAGTGTTCAATAGTTCTCTGTCACAGAATAAACAACTCTAATCTACACTGAAAAAAAACAATATATTACATATAGTTTTACTCCCATTTTGCAGCAGTTTGGAAAAAAATCATAGCAATGTGTCTTGCTGCTACAGGCATACTTCATGATGCACCCTAAATAAATAAATAAATAAATAAATAAATCCCACTCTGTTGTCATATTAAATATAGAACACAGATTTAGTTTAGCGTGTGTTTACTTTCCGTGCTGTAACAGCTTCGTTTTGAACTTTCCTATCAGGCCATTTTCTCATTTTCTACCAGCAAGAAAAACAGTAGAATCTGCCCTTATGAATAAATAATTTGGGTGAAATCTATACGTTATTAACTAAAATTTCTTATTTCATATTCCCAAATATCCTAATTTAATAAAATATATTTAAGACTGCTGTAGTACCGCTTGAAACCCAGAGAGGGGCAGCACTGCGCCACGGCAGCGCCCAGCCTGACAAACCCAGAAGAAGACAAAGTGAAAGTGACGTCCGAGCGGAGAAAGTTAGACAAAACAAAACATTGAATATTAAGTGATATTAAATACACGCAGCTCCATTACAGCGGCGATACTGAAGCACAGTGAGTATGAAGAGGGTGCTGAAGTGCTTATAGAGGAGCTGAGAGACTCTGCTGTAGCTGTTAGGCTGATTTTAGAGCTAGCACTGAGCTAACAGCGTTAGCTAAAAACATTACAGGTTTCAGACTTTAGATTAAAATCTGCGGGTCTGTATAGGTCGTGGTTAATATCAGAACCAGAATCAGATACACACACGAGGAGTTTATACACACACCAGGAGTTTATACACACACCAGCAGTTTATACACACACGAGGAGTTTATACACACACCAGCAGTTTATACACACACCAGCAGTTTATACACACACGAGGAGTTTATACACACACCAGCAGTTTATACACACACCAGCAGTTTATACACACACGAGGAGTTTATACACACACGAGGAGTTTATACACACACGAGGAGTTTATACACACACCAGCAGTTTATACACACACCAGCAGTTTATACACACACGAGGAGTTTATACACACACCAGCAGTTTATACACACACCAGCAGTTTATACACACACGAGGAGTTTATACACACACCAGCAGTTTATACACACACCAGCAGTTTATACACACACGAGGAGTTTATACACACACCAGCAGTTTATACACACACCAGGAGTTTATACACACACGAGGAGTTTATACACACACCAGGAGTTCATACACACACGAGGAGTTTATACACACACCAGCAGTTTATACACACACCAGGAGTTTATACACACACGAGGAGTTTATACACACACCAGGAGTTTATCTTACAGAAATAGGACCAAGCAGAGCCGGTGTGTGTAACTGTTTCCAGATCAGTTAAAGTTGTCTAACTGACTGTTTGTGGATGATGTTTATGAGGATGGTGGCACAACTTACACTGTGGTTAATATGGTCCTAAAGATAATAGACAGTGCTGAACGAGGAGAAGGGCTTTCAGAACAGCTTCAGCCCTTACTGGAACGGTGTCAGTGTCCTGCACTGTCTTCTGTTCTTGTAGAGGTAAAATGATGGAGTTCTGCTTCATTCTGACCTCCAGAACGTCCAGTGAAGCTGCAGTGATGTTCAGATCTGGAGGCCATTGAAGGCGTTTGACTTTGCTTTGGAGGCGTTGTTTTGGAGCAGGACTTTGTCTTGAGATTGCAGTTCGTCCGTCTATAATGGCCTCATATTAGTATCATTAACACACAGTCCTAATCACTGCTAGGCATTACGGATCCATCAGCATGTTTAACAGGCATGCTTTTCAAGTGGAGGTTCAGATTGGGCCAGTGGTTCCAGCACCTCAGGCTTTGGGATTTTTACACCAGGTCATGCAGGTTATACCCCGCTGGTTTTAGTTGGGTCACAGTGAAATACATTCATTGTTTTCTGAGGTCGTTATCGATGCTGTAGATTTGTGGTGCTGATAGGTTAGACTTGTATGTGGATATTTGCTCTATTTGGCATGTATTGTAATGATTTGGGACCATTTTCTTTGACACTTGAATTACTTTTCTGTAATTTTTGTGTTTTTCTTCTGAAGTCCAGGGGTTGCTTAAGTCATTGTTAATATTTTTTTTTTTTTAGCCCCCAGCAGAAATATATTTTAGAGATAGTAAACTGTATTGTGTTTACACACTAACCTTTTCCCTGTTCAGGTAAATACGAATATGTGTCAGAGGTTAATCCTTAGTGGAAATGGTTGTACACCTACATTATTTTAGCTGCAGTAATAGAAACAAATGTTGAATGTGGTTTGGTGCTCAGTCTGTTCAAGGTATTGGTGCTAATGTTGATCCAGTATGTTTGGTTTATTACTAACTGATATTAATGAGATATGGATCTACACGAGTTGAGCACAATCAGGCTGCTAACTAAGCAGCAGAAAAATGCATCTTACAGCACATGAGTACCCAGCTACTATTTGGCATTGCAATTAATTTTGAACTGAACGTTCATCATTAATAACAGCTCTGAAGCTTCCCTCAGTTTGGTGAATGTTACATTACTGCACACCAAGCAGTTTTAATTGAGTTTTCCAGATAGCCAATGAGAACATCATAAGCTGAACTTGTTCTTTAACTCTGGCAGAAAGTGGATAGAGCTGATAGAGGTTCATGAGTGCTTTCTTGGTTTGTTGCTTGCATGACGAACATTAAATGTTTAATATGTGAACTAGCGAGACTATGAAACGCCGCTTTCTCCAATTTAGGGAAATACTCCTGTACTACTGTCAAGATGGTATAAGAGGGGGTGATGAACAGTGTGTTGTCAGGAGTACAGGGACGGTGTTCTGTTTGAGTTCTAAAATGTTCTGTCTCCAGTCCATACAATCCATATATGGACGCTAAGACCAGACAGTCAGAACATAGGTTGTTTACATGTGTCAGTACATTATAAAATGTCATCTTAAAGGCACAGTAACAAAAACAGCCTGTTTAATACTAATGATACGTGTCCATTGTGCATGAATTTGAAAGTGAAATTTTATACCTATTTATTTTCAATGGGGGTCTTGAAGAAAATGCATAAGGTACCTGTGCAGTTCTGTCTGAAAGACACGGAAGGAAAGTTATTAATGGGAGTGTTTGGGTTCCCAGATGAATACAATCCAGAATGAATATAAAGACAAAAGTAAAAGAAACACTGCATGACAGAAAGTCTCTGACAGTGTCAGTGTATCGCAGGTACAGCAGGCTAATACAAACATTTTTCTGTTGGTTGATAGCCAGCAACATATACTGAAGTATTCAGAGCTTTTTAAGTTTATGAGAGCAGTCTACCTGAGAGGAGAATTTATATTTCTACAACCCCATTTCCAAAAAAGTTGGCACACTGTGCAGAATGTAAATAAAAACAGAATGCAATGATATGTAAATCATATAAACCATATTTTTAAAGGAAAATGCTACAAAGACAACATATCAAATGTTGAAATTGGGATTTTTTTATTTATTTTTTTTAATATATGCACATTTTGAATTTGGTGCCAACACGTTTCAAAAAAGTTGGGACGGGTTCATGTTTACCACTGTGTTTCATCACCTCTTCTTTTAACAACATTCTGTAAGCGTTTGGGAACTGAGGAGACACTGCTGTAGCTTAGAAAGTGAAATGTTTTTTCTGTTCTTGCTTGATACAGAATTTCAGCTGCTCAATAGTTCAGGGGCTCCTTTGTCATATTTTTCATTTCATAATGTGCCAAATGTTTTCAGTGGTGACAGGTCTGGACTGCAGACAGGTCAGTTTAGCACCCAGACTCTTAATATGGAGCCATGCTGTTGTAATACGTGCAGACTGTGGTATGGCATCATCTTGAAATAAACAATGTCGTCTGGATGGCAGCATATGTTGCCAAAACATGTATATATCGTTCAGCATTAATGGAGCCTTCACAGATGAGCACGTCACCCATGCCATGTGCACTAATGCCCCCCTATACCTTAATGAATACTGGCTTTTGAACTGTACACTGATAACAAGCTGAGTGGTCTTTAGTCCAGAGGACACAGTGTCCATGATTTCCAAAAAGAATTTAAAATGTTGATTCGTCAGACCACAGGACACTTTTCCACTTCAACTCAGTCCATTTTAAATGAGCTCAGGCCCAGAGAAGGTGGCAGCATTTCCTGTTTTTTTTTGCATATTAGAGTTTTAACTTGCATTTGTGGATGGTGCCACAAGCTGTTTTCACAGACAGTGTTTTTCAGAAGTGTTTCTGAGCCCATGCAGCAATTTCCACTACAGAATCATGTCTGTTTTTAATGCAGTGCTGCCTGAGGGCCCAAAGATCACAGCCAGCAAATACTGGTTTTTGGCCTTGTCCCTTACAGAGATTTCTCCAGATTCTCTGAATCTTTTAATGATATTCTGTACCGTAGATGAAGAAAAGCAACAGTTCTTTGCTATTTTATGTTGAGAAACGTTATTCTTGAATTGTTGCACTATTTGATGGTGCAGTCTTTCACAGAGTGGTGAATCCCTCGTCATTTTTACTTCTGAAAGACTCTCTGAGATGTTCTTTATACCCAATCATGTTACTGACCTGTTGCCAATCAACCACCAGGCATTTTTTTAGCATTACAAAACTTTACCAGCCTTTTGTTGCCCCCATCCCAACTTTTTTGGAACAGCTCTTTTGGCATATATTCTTCAAAAAACAATGAAATTTCTCAGTTTCAACATCTAATATGTTGTTCTTGTATTATTTTCAGTTAAATGTAGGGTTACATTTTGCACAGCATCCCAACATTTTTGCAAATGGGGTTGTAAATTTCTAAATTTATATCAAAGCAGGGGGTCGCTTTTAAGTCAATCATTAGTTTCAAACTGTAGAAAATGAGGTATATTTCAGGTATAGAAATAGTCAAACTAACAGATAACAGGTAACACTGTATAGAGTACTGGAAGCAAGGGACTAGGACTTTTGTAGTTTCATGTACTGATGGTGTGTGTGTGTGTTTGTTTGTTTGTGTGTGTGTGTGTGTCTGTAGGTCAGTCATGCCCCGCATTTCTGTTCACTGTGTCCTGATCTTACTGATCATTGGATTCATTACGGGTAAGTACTGCTCTCTCATTCCTTTATCATCTTAAGGGTGTTTAGGCTGTAGGGCAGCCTCAGTGAATGGTCAGAGCAGGCAGGCCTGTAGAATGTAGTGATATTGTTTGTAAAATAGGAACAAATCTTTTTAATTTCAGTAAATAATTAGTGAACAGTCTCTGGGCATTTCCTATTAGTTTACTCTATGAATTTAGAGACTAACAGATTGCATGTTATTTCAATAAAACCTTTAAGCAGTCTGGTGGAGTAAGATAAACCAGATAATTAGGCGATTATCACAATAGGAAGTTTTATGGCTAACTTTTCATGTAGGCCAGGGTGAGGTAAGTCTGGCAGGCAGTAACCAGCCAACACATATATGGCTTTTACCCAGGAAACCTCAATAGCCTGCATGATACTTGTTTAAATTCAGTTTGTGTAGAGTGCACTTATCCTGGCTTTTTCACCTGCATACACATGCAGTTTCTTGAAAAGCCTGTGGGTGCTGCCATAACACCGCACTATTTCTGATTGCTGATATTCTGTTTCTGGACATGCTAGAATTAAGCGCATGAAATTCTGATGGCCATTTCTTTCAGCCAATCACAATCGTCTCTAAGCATTTCCCTTCGGAATAAACCTGCAGTGAGAATGACGGTGGCAGTAAATTAGTTGTTAATTTTTGCTGAGAAATGGTGGAAAGGAGTGAAAAAACATAAAATGTATCTTTTAAGAAGTTAAGTTGGCCTCAATGATTTGTAATAGGAAAAAACAGAAGGGGGTCTGTGTTGTTTCAGGGAGAAACGTTAGTGTGGTTTGCACTGTATGTAAAATGTGTTATCTGGCTTATTTGTGCTGTATTTGTGGTTAAGTTTTATGATTAATGGATGAACAGAAATAGAGCACAGAGGCCTCAGGAATGAAATAAGCAAGATATTATAATTGCTTACACCTTATTATTTTACGGCCAAAATTAATCAGAAAAAAGATGCTGTTACATTAACTACCAGTTCTCCTGTGTTTTACGTTCACTATGACGTGTTTTCCTTCCTTGTCTAAGAATTAACATCATGATTCAACTACAATTTTTTTATTATAAGAGAAATGAACACACATGGCATAATGTAGTGAAACTCTGGAATGGTTGCAGTGTGATCCTGAGTTCAAACAGTGTGGACTGATTTAAAGTTTGTGAAGAATTCCGGAGGAATTTATTCTCCTTTAGCACATCATTTTTATCTATTCTCTCTTTCAGTGACTGAATCAGCTGTTCTTCCAGTGACGGTGAAGCTTAATGACTCTGCTACTCTGCCCTGCTATGAAAGATGCTCTGGTTTGGTCAGATGGACTGTGTTCAGTAAACCCACTGATGCTCTGGCTGAGTGTGATCAGACTTCATGTAGATCAAAGGAGGGATATCAGATGATCCATGATCAGTACCTGAAGGGGAATCTCTCTCTCACCATCACTGACGCTGATTTCACTAAGAGAGCTCGGTACACGAGTGACTGTGATGGGAAAGATCTCTGTGATGTTCATCTTAAGATTGAGCGTAAGTGTCCATTACTGACGGAACTCCAGTAATTATAACGAATATAACGCTTTATCAGATTTGCTCATAGTTTATGTTCCTGATTGTTTTTCTCCTCAGCCTTGAATTTTCCCATTCAGATTAAAACTGGTCAATCACTGGTGCTGAAGTTGGACGTATCAGATCCAGTGGAGGTGATTTATAACAGCACAGATACAGCTGGACCATCCAGTGATCAGATCTGTACAGTGGATGGACGATCCACACAGTGCAAACCTGAATACACACAAAGAGCATCACTCACAGCTGCTCTTGAGCTGAGAGGAATGACTCCATCTGATAGTGGAGTTTATACTGTAATAGAGACCAGGAACGAAGAGGTCCTTCACAAATATGAAGTGACTGTTGAAGGTAAGGTTTTTTTCCCCAGAGGTTTGAATTTCATTTAAAAAAATTCTGACAAAACAAAAGTCTGTAAAACAGAAAAGAACATTTTTAGGAACTGTCCATTAAGAAATGGTCAGTATATGTATTTTTCATTTTTGTAGCCTTCCACCTGTCAGTCAGCCCATCAGGGCAAAGCCACACCAACACCAGTAACTTTAGTCTCAAGTCTCCACACGTCAGTGGATCATCAGTTTTAGTCTTGCAAGCTGGACTTGTTTAGAGAGTCCAGTGCATTTCATAGCTTTGGATAGCCAAGAAACACCTATTTGACATAAAAAGGTCATTTTTACTGACGTACAAAACTACCTGTTGTTTTTGCATGATGTGCGTTTGCAACTTTTAAGTCATAGCTAAAACAAAACACCCACAGAGTTACAGACATTTAAATATTTCAAAGAATAGTCTTGTATAGCTGTTTAAACTGTGATGCTGTACATTTCTCAAACCTCTTTTCTAAAACCCAACCGATATATCATTTTTAAGACTGATACCGATTTTGGTGTTTGAGGATTGAAAAACCAGATGTATCTGTCATCTGATAATCTTTTTTATGACATTAATATGTTCCCTAATATTTGCTATGTGTAGTTATAAGTAGATAAAAATATACTTAGTGGATAACTTGACATAATGTTGTGTAAAAGTAAACCTGCAACTTTGACACTTGTAAATTTCACACTGCAGTGTTATGAACACAAACATCCATCACATTTATCATTTAAAGAATTTAATGATTAACTGGATTATCATTGCTCCATAGTGAAAGAGTCCAGGTGCTAAGCTGGCCTGCCTGTAGTCCAGATATGTCACCCACTGATAACATTTGGCACATTATGAATAAAAAAATATGACAAAAAAGACCCTGAACTGTTGAGCAGGAAAACATTTAACTTTCTAAACTACAGTAGTGTCTCCTCATTTATCAAACACTTACAGAAAGTTGTTAAAACAAGAGGTGATGCAACACAGTGGTAAACATGCCCCCGTCCCAACTTTTTTGGCATCAAATTCAAATTTTTTCAAAAAACAACAAAATTTCCCAGTTTCAATATTTGATATGTTGTCTTCGTATTTTCAGTAAATACAGGATTTAAATGATTTGGGCATCATTGCATTCAATGAAAAGTTAAGGATCCTAAGAGAGCTGGGCGATATGGCCAAAAATGTTATCACGATAAACAAAATTCATATTGTTCGATATTGATGCATATCGCGATAAATGTCAAATCATTATTACTTTCAAGTTTGAAGGCTAATTTAAACTGAAAGTGGTGCTTTTGTGTCTTGTCTGATCTACAGTAACGTCAATTTGCCGTGCTGTGTGTGTGACGGAGCGCTGCTTCAAGTTAGCCAGCTGCTAAAAACAGCTAGCCTGGAAAGATAGCGCTCTCCCACTCTCCAGTGCCTCACAGCTTCCTCAGTTTACGTTTGTTTAAATCAGGGCTGTAACTCACATTAACCCACTTCTTTCTTTAGTTGTTTGTAAATGCACTAATACTGAAATATGACTGAGCGCTGTAACAGTGCGTTAGTTGTGCGGAGCAGACGTGATTTAACGCTGCTAAAGTTGTTAGGATGCACAGAAAGAGGTGAGTTCACTGTAGGACAGTACAGTTACGCCACTGACCTCGTCACTCAGACTCGGCCACAGGAGAACAGATCGCCGGTCGCTCCACTCAAACAGGGACTGTATAACTCTGCGTTTCAGACGTTGCTAAAGTATATTTGGCCACTCATTTTTCACTCGTCGCCCCCCCCTCTCTAATCATGTCCAGGGAGTGCACCCTCTTCTGGCGACAGCAGAGTAGTGTCACTTTCCTTGCAGTAGAAAACGCCACCAGGGCTGTCGCTAGAATGTGGAAGTGTGAGAATGGTGTATTATATTGAAAATTTATCGAACCTTTCTTATCACTCTATCGAGGAAACGTTATATCTCGATAATTATCGTTATCATTTTATCGCCCAGCCCTAGATACTAATTTTTTGGGAACAAAAAATGTGGACTAATGGTGTTCAACTGTGAGTGTGTGTGATGTCCACAACTTTATTATATTAGATCCTCTGTGTAGCTCAGTCTCTCCAGTGCTTCATACTCATTAAACCATTAGGAGATATCAGTCATTACAACATCATTACACTGCAAGACTCAGTTCTGTTTCTATGTAATAATCAGTTGATGATTGGCATAACTTGTTCATTTTAACAGTTGAGTGGAGATGCTGAACTACCCAGAGGATGATTAATCAGATCCTAAATCAGTGGTTTCTGCTGGAACTGCTGAACTGTGTTTATCTCCAGTTTGAGGTCTTGCATTGTGATGATGTTGTGGTGTTTTATCAGGTGATGGTTCTGAAGCTCAGGATAAGATTCGTAAGGCCTCTCGAAGCCGCCGCAGCGCCCCATCTGGTACGACCTACAGCTCACTCTATAGTGATACTACTGTACTGATTGCACTGGGTTACACTAAGGTTTATCACAATGTGCCCTGAAGATGTTGCAGGTCTTAACAGACTGTACAGTTTGAATAAAAACTCTGACCTTCTCTGTGTTGTGTTTTTTTAGATGGTCAATCCTGTCTGTGCAGAGATCAAGGAGCTGCTGTACCGGTGTGGCTGTTTGTACTCTCGCTGGTGCTGGTGGGGGTTGGATTCATGGTATTGGTGGTGGTGATTGTGCGGCTGAAGAGAGAGATTCAGCGACTACAGGCAGGATCCCCTGCTCTTAACCGGGGGCTCTGAGAGATCATTTCAAATTGTTTATTTTTCCTATCTCTCTTTACCGTCTCAGGAAAGGGAATGTGTGTGTGTGAGAGATACTTGATATGTGTATCAATATGGAGACTTAAGCACTATCTACTCTTCATCTACAGGGTTTCAGTGTAGAATCTATACATCTCAACAGAAGTAACAACTGAGATTTCCTTTATTCTTACAGTTCAACTTTCTGGAGCAACTTTTGGTACAAAGATTTTGCTGAAATTGAGCATCTTTATCAGAATCTAAATGATAACCACTTTTTGTCTAGAAGACCTCAGTACAAATGCTGCCAGTGCCTTTCTTCTATGAAAACGTGAGTGCCTTAGTTGAGAGTCTGAACTGAGGTATATTTTGCTTTCTTTTATTCTTGAACTGGACCAACTATTCTGTGAAGAAATTAGAGAAGCTTTCTTTATCTGTAGGTTTGGAGATGTTACATTTATCAGGGCTAAGTTTCCCTAAAGCAGGGTTTCTCAACCGCTGGGCTGTGGAACACAGTGGTCCACAGGCATGTCCTAGGGGAAAGGCAGCAGTTCAAAGTGGGCCAGTAATGTCACTTTGTGTAAAAAAAAACAAAAAAGAAAAGATAAGTGGGAAAAAAAGATTAACTTAATAATTCTCTCATCCGCTGTCATTGTTCTGAGCTGGTTTTAAAAACAGACGAGCCATAAAGTAACAATAAAGTAATGCGTTTTTGGTTCATCGATCAGAACTAACAACTGCAGATGTGTTATTTATTTAAACATAACTGCAAATGTTGGTTTCTGGAATTGAAACAAAGTGGATGATCAGATCTTTTTCAGGCCCTGATTCTTAGGTGTTCAGTGTCAACACATAAAAAAAAGAGTAAAAAAGTTACTTTAAGAAAGGTGATCTTTGTTTTCCTGTGGGCGGTCCTTCAGTGCTTTCTAGATATAAACAGGGGTGGGCTTCGGGTGGGAAAAGCTTGAGAACCCCTGCCCCAAAGCATCTTAGCATAAATTCTTCATATTCAGATTATTAAATGGAAGAGTGTGCCTTACAGTGAACGCTTTCTCTACTAGTTAAAATGATCTTAACACTAAGAAACGCTTTTGGAAAACTTGGACCTGGAATTTAATCTAAAGAAGCTGAACTTACTGAATAGCCTTTTTACAGGGCAGCTAAAACTGAAAACAAAAGCTAATTTAAACACAAATCTGCTGATGTTCTCAAGTTTAGGGGTAGATGGATGTCCTTAGACTCTAGACAGGTTTCTCCACTAGCTTAGAAACTGACGGCTCTATAATTCAGTTCTGTCTGAGAATGAGGAACTTCAACCATTGGAGGCTTTAAACCACATATTAGGTTTTGAACCCTTGGTGTGAATGAAAGAGCCAGTGAAGTGATATCATTAGAGAAAAAAACAAAGCAGTAGGTCAGCAAATGATGCTTCTGGATGCTTTTATAGGGCTAGTAATGAAAGACAAGGAGTGCAGCCTGATGACCAAATCATAGATAATAATGACTTGTTATGGACTGTAGCAAAATTTATTAGGTACTTTTTTTAGCATAAGAACTGAACATTTTCAGATATCTCTTTTCTTATATTGTGATTTGACTGCATATTTGATATAGAACAAAATACAAGCTCTATGTAATTTATTTTGTAGTTACCAAGTGTATCTTTAATCATCAGCATTGTAATCAGCTCCAACAAAATGTGCAACTGCCACTGAAGACATGTGCCCCCTGTTAAAGTGGTCCAGCTGGAGGGTCAGTTAAACTCATTGAGACTGATTGTGATGAATCGTATTTCATTAGATTAAGATTCTCTAAGGCTTTATGAATGTATGTTGTGCTTTGCTGTATTCTTCTCTATTCTGTTCTCTTCTTCCCGTCTGTAAATATCATTCAGCTGGCAGCTTTAGAGTGAGGATTTTTTAATACTGATGTCTTTACTAGAAGGAAAGTTGTATGACAGGGAAAGCCACTGATATGTCTTTTTACATTCTTACAGTCTGCACAGGATTATTGTTTTTTATTACCTTGTTTAATTGAAGAAAAAAAAAAAACTTGGTGAGATACAGTATGTACATTTTGTTATGGCTGTCTTTACATCTTGTATAAATAAGTGCTGTTTTTATAGTTTTTGTGTTTCATCTAACATTGATTCTGTAATTTTGTACTGAGACTGAAACACCAGTAAGACTGACCCAAGTGCCTCAGGCGAGTGTGGATAGCCAATCAGAAAGAAAATGACAATTTTGATATTTGTGGTCAATTTAACATAGTCAGTATTTTGTAATTGTGATCATTTTTGTTATTGTGATTGTTTGCAAGAAGTCATATGGCACAGTCTATATAAGGGAATTAAAACCTGATGTATTAAATTACATAAAAGGACCAAAAAAGTGAGGTATGTCTGATTATGTTAACTAAACTGTGAGTGTCTTGTTGGAGACATGGAATCCTATGATGATAGCATGTTCAATATGACCTACTGCCAGTATTTGTCTATACAGACTGTAGTGTTGTGGGCTTCATTTTAGGCACCTGCTATTCCTGAATGTGGTACATTTGAAGGAGTGTCCGCATACTTTTGGCCATGTAGTGTACATTTTACGGTTTTGTGCCTTGGTTAAGAGCTGTTTTGAGATGAACCACCAGCAGGAGTGAATCCAGTGAACAGCTTTGTCAGCACTGTTGCACTTATATAAATAGCACCAGAGAAGTATGATATAGTAGGTAAAGTATAAATGTGTTGGCACAATATTTTGAGATGTACATTGTTTTGTTTTAAAATATTTAAATGTAAGGAGTGTTTATTATAGTATTTTAGTTTGGTTTATTGGAAATGACTAATTATGGAAAATAAAGCTGAGTGAATATTGAAGCTGCTGAGTCTGTTTTATTTCAGTATTTAAAGTGATACAATGATACAGGACCCTTAGTCACAGAGTGAGGGTAGGAGTGCTGATCTCTTCCAGTCAGTAATTCCTCAGTAAATAAGAGAGGAACCTGATCCTGGATCAGCACTCCGACTCTAAGGAGCTTTGTGAATACCTGGTCTGCAGTGCTCCTTGTGGAAAACGGTCTGGGTTCTTAAAGTTTCCTAAATGCAGCAGAGACTGAGTTAAGGCCACTGCACCCCAGAAACGCTGATCCAGTCAGCTAACATAGCTTATAGCCTCTTTACACCTCATATCTTTTAGCTCAAACATCGAGCCTCGTTCACCAAAATCTCCCTAAGTTTGTTCTTAGGAAATGTACTAAGTAAAAGTCTACGTCAGATTCATGATGTGCTCTGAAATCATACACACTTAAAAAAGGGTTCTTTAGTAAAGAAAATGGTTCTGTGTAGAACCATGGACACTCAAAAGACCCCTTTGCATGGTTAAAGGGCTGTTTGCACTGTGAAATGGTTCTTCAGAGTGATGGAGAATGTGCTGTAGATTTTTGGGTCCTTCTATTATTACAAGCTTGACATTATAATGACAGAAGAACCCTTTTCAAAAAGGTGCTATGTAGAACCATATACAACACATTCTCTATCAGTCTGAAGAACCATTTCACCATGTAAAGAACCCTTTAATTATGCAAAGCCTTCTCTGAGTGTTCATGGTTCTATATAGAACCATTTCTTTTAAATTAAGAACACTAGAAGAACTGTCATTTCAAAGAGTGTAGAGCTGCTCACTCCTCTTGAGTGTGTAGATTGTGTTCTACAACAAATCCCAAATAAGAAAACATTGGTGAATGTCAGAATCTTCGTAAAACTCCGTAAGAGGGTTTTAAGAAGGAATTTCTTCTTAAGTAGGTTTGGTGAATGAAGCCCAATGAGTCTGTGAAGGTGATACTAAACGAGGCCGAGTATTGGCTGGTCTTTACATGCCCTTGCTGACCCAGCTCCCCTTCAAACCATATCCTTCCCCCTTTCAGCGCTCCTCTTCAGGGAGAGCCAGTTCCTCACACCCCACTGAAGATTACACGAAAGGACAACCTGCGAGTGAACATGCAGCACATGTTACTACTGAAATGAATACATTTACCAAACAGTTTATTGACTAATGTTCATCCAATTAAACAAGAACCTCAGATCTTCATCTAGATGAGTTAAGGTTAAGTTGGTTAGTAGTAGCAGCTGATGATGAACAAAAGGACCCGTCAGCTCAGTTTTGTACATTCTGTTTCTTGCAGGCCACTAGTTCTGAATCCTGGTCTTAGTACTGCATATCGTGCACATTTCCAGTTGTTTTTTGAGTTATACAGGGTGGAACAGATGAAACGGTCCAAACTCACTAAATTAAAAATACACTTGTGGGTAATGTTCAGGACCTTCCCAGCACCCAGACAAGGCCCAGTGATTTATTTGAAATTAAAAATACATGTCTGTCATTTTTAGTTCATTTTTATTTAACATTATCATGCTAATACTATTTAAACTGCCCATCAGCATTTTACACTACCAGGGTAAAACCCTACCTAGACTGAATCTTCCTCAAAATTTTGTAATACCTCATAAAATTAATAATTAAAAAAATAAATAAAAATAAAAATATAATAAAAAATAAAATAAAAAATATTTTAAGACATTTTAGAGAATTATATTGTACTTAGTTTGTGCCAGAACACGTCTGAATATGTTTTGCCCAGCCTCTGAGTGAAGACAGTCAGATGCTGCAGCAGTGCACACTCAGTTCCTCAAACAGAAACTTCTTATTACAGACAACGGCCTCCTCTTACACGAGGGACTGCTCAGCTTTACTCCGGGGAAAATTTGAGAATAGCCCCAGCTACACCTACACAATATTCATAGCACAGTTTAGATCGATTACAGTAAGTATTGCATATTTTCATGTATTATAAAAAAAGAATTGCTAACTAAATTCATCCTGCCAGAAGCAAACAGGGTCTGCAACAACTCAGCCAGTTCAACAAAGAGGCAGTGCTTGGTTTAATAGATAGGTCAGGCTTTGCATTAACAGGTTTAGTAGAAGTATCTGTTCTATCTACTGTATCGGGTGTGGTTTTCTGTGCTCTAGTAGTGAGAGTCCATGTTTTAGAAACCTGTCTGTTAGCAGAGCAGCTAACAAGCTCAATTCTGGCTGTTCTCTACACACGTGGGTCACATTTCACCTTCCTTTAAACGCTTGCCAGAGCAATTATAATTATTCATTTGGGCTTGATTAGATTGTTGTGATTTAGATTAGATTAGATCGATTGTTTTGATTTATTTCTCTGAAGGGCATGACACAGCAAAAACTACAACACGTGTCTGACCAGTGTAGAAATAATGCTGACAACACTGACACCAGCTGGCCTGGAGGTGACCTGCAATTTATATATTTATTTAAAAGTAATTTATGTCTGTACTCCAGCCCGGTACAGGCTTTTATTAGACAGTTGACTCCTAACATGCAACAACGATTAGGATTAATGCCCCTTTCTGTTATTATCCTTCACTCCACACTTAATATCTGTAAAATTATCCATACCTTAACTTTACACTTAATATTTGTAAAAATACTCATACTTTACCTTCACACTTAAAATCTGGAAGAAAAACTCATACTTTAACTTCACATTTAATATCTGTAGAATTATTCGTACTGTAGCTTCACAGTTAATATCTGTAAAAATACTCAGTTTAATTTACACTTCTGTACAATTATTTGTACTATAACTTCATGCTAATGTCTGTACAGTTATCTGTCCCATAACTTCACAACACCATAACAATCTGTAACATTACTTATACCTAAACTTTACTTTAAATACCTTTTAAATGATCTGTACTTTAATTTCACACAGTATCTATCAAATTATCAGGACAAAAACTTAATGTTCTATTGGTTTTGATTTTTCTTTTAATTTCTGTTTCTATGTTGAAATATATATTGACCAGTAAGTGCACCTACGCTTAGAACAAAGTAAGAGTAGCTTTTAAAATGTGAATGAATATTTTCTACATTTGAATGTGCCTTTTTTTCCCTTGACAAATATTTGAATTTGGGTTTTTATTTCATCAGTTTTACCATGAAGACCTGCAGCTCTGCTCACTGTGTCCTGATCTTACTGATCACTACTGGTAAGAACTGCACTGTCACTCCTTTATCGTCTCTTTAAACACTACAATATTTTACCATCCCTTTGGTTTTTGAATCAGATTTTCTGTAAGAGATGACATGAAAAAGATGATGGGCTTTATAATGTGAAGGGTTTGGATGGATCTTGCAGAGTTGGCTGTTGTTAAAAACATTTATTAAAGGAACAAACCAGAGACGGAATGCAGAAACAGGCTATGGTCATGCAGAGGCTAACGGGCATATGCAGGTGAGACTCAGACAAGGTCAATAAGACAGGCAAAAAGGTCTGAACACAAACAAGGGAAGACAGAGGTCAATAGAGGTCAGTCAGAAGACGTAAATGAGAAACCAAAAAAAAGTCACAAGCCAAAAATGAGTACAGACAAAAGGCTCGGTAATGAACAGCATGCTGACACAATACTTCACAATGAACCTAACTAAAAGCCCAGGCTTTATACTAACCCTAAACACCTGACAAGGAATAAATGTGGAAAGAATCCGGAGTCATGTGACCTCCCAGAGGATTCTGGGAGTTGGAGTCTGCAACGGAGTGAGGAGCAGTGGTTTCAGCATATCTGGGGAGAGATGTGACAGTACACCTCCAAGGAGCGCAGGACGGCCGACAAATGAACCTCCCACCCACACGACCGGAGATGCTGGAAGATCGACCTCTGGAGTCATTGCACTGCTTGACAGATGTGGATTCACAGGAAGGATCTCTAGAAGAGACTAGCAGGACAGGAACTGGACAGTCATTGCTTCTTGGGACATCCCGTGGGATGAGGAGCGGGCTTATCCAGGTGTCGTGTGTGGAACTTGTCCACCAAACCTGGATCCAGGACATCAGAAGCAGGCACCCAACTTCTCTCCTCAGAACGGAATCCTTCACAGTCACTTAAATGCTGCAGAACACCACCACAGCGCCTGGAGTCCAGCACCTGCCGAACAGCATATAAAAGGCGCCCTCAACCTCCAGAGGTGCAGGCACAGCCTCTCCAAGCGAAACCTCATTCAACAGACCAGGGGCCACGGGCTTGAGGAGAGAAACATGAAAGAAATTACAAACACAATACTGAGAACATCATTAACTCTCTTGACTACTGTAAATGTTCCAATATACTTGGGTTTTGGTTACTTACTACCCTCCCTAAACCTGAAATCCCTGGTCGATAACCAAACCCGTTCTCCAGGTTCATATGAGGGGGTCTCTCCACGATGGCAATCGGCCTGTTCTTTATAATGCTGAATGGCAGTGGGTTTGTTCCCAAACCTCCTCACTCTGTTGCATCCACTTGTTTATGGCAGGAAGGTCTGAAGGAGTGGCTGTCCAAGGTACGAGTGGGGATTGGAAACCTAATGTGCACTGAAATGGGATTAATCCAGTAGTGGCACTGATGAGGGAGTTCTGAGCCACTTCTGCCCAAATCAGAAACTTTGACGAGTCTAAAAGGTTATGTTGATGGAACAGTCTGAGCAATTTTCCTAATTCCTGAATAGTCTGTTCACACTGTCCATTGGACTGAGGGTGATAATTGGAAGTTAACCTTATATTAACACCAGGGTGTTCAAAGAAACTGGCCATACCCTAGAAGTAAATTGTGAGCCTCTATCAGACAGTGTATCTTCAGGAATGCCATAGTGCTGGAAAACATGAGCATAAATGGCCTCTGTTGTCTGAAAGGCTGTAGGAAGTGCTACAAAGGGAACAAATTTGACTCCTCTGGAGAAACAATCAGCTATAATTAGTATTGTCATGTAATCATCAGAATGGATAAGATAGGTAATAAAATCAATAGCAATGTGGGAC